CATCTAAAACATTTAATACAGGGGGTTTGCACGACATGACCTTCAAGACCCACTTCTTTAACTGGTACCAAGGCTATAATTGAAAGTCTCTTCCTTCTTCCACCACATTCTCGAGATTTTCCTGCCTTTGGATAGCACTTTAGTGGACCTAGATTGCTGGCCTGATAGGGTGAGCCAGACCTTCATTGTGGAGGGGTCTCAGTTTTTGATCACTCTGTCCTTTTCAGGCCGTAACTGCCACCTGCTGTTTTTATTGGCATGAAATACCCACTGCAAAACACTTAGATTCCAGGCATATCCCTCCTTGCCCTCACTGGGTAATAACAACCCAATGCTTCATGATAATCAGAGTCAATTACTCCTCCTTTCTTTGCCTGCTGGAGCATTGGCACAAGGAGTTCAAAGTGGCCTCAGCAGCAGCCACAGCTGCATGTTCAGTGGAACCCATGCTGAATCCTCTGGTGGAAGACTTCTTCCCCTGGGTCCTGGGAACTCTAATCCAGCAGAGCCTAGGGCTGTGGGAAAGTGAAACACAAATTTTGGAAATGAGTTACAGGGTGTGATAGTAGAAGAGTCTAGTCTACTTCCATTTCTTCATTTCTAAGTTTGTGTATTTTAGGTAGGTGCCACAGAACCGTGTATCAGTCACCGGTTTAAAGAATATTATCTCTTCCAGGAATATAGCATTCCAACTGCTAAGGGTGATGCTGTTGAGCTGGCTTCTTAACTGAGCCTTTAATAGGCCATTCTATCATCCTCTAAGGTCATCTGACCTGGGTACTATGGGTCTATGTCGTCTTTTAGGTCCATGGTAAGACAAGTGGATCCCTTCCCTGGTTATGCCTTCAACTGTCACACCCTTCGTGTTCTCTGTCTCTCTTTTTAAAAATTTTATTTATTTACTTGAAAGAGGGAGAGAAGGAGCACAAGCAGGGTTCGGGGCAGAGGGAGAAGCAGACTCCCCACTGAGCAGGGACCCCGATGTGGGGCTCAATCCCTGGACTCCAAAGGCAGATGCTTAACCGACTGAACCACCCAGGCGCCTCCACCCTTCGTGTTCTAGAATGGGTACCTTGTTCACAGACATCCAGTTTTGGACATGGAAGGGCAATTAAAAGAACACGCACCAACTAGCAAAATGGAAAAGATTAAGAATTTTGGAGGTATGAGCTCCCAGGCAAATTATAAAGATTTGCTGGACAGAGAACATGCTTAGGAAGTCTGTTCTGTCAAATATACCATACAAAGTGATGAAGGTTACATGTGACGGAATGTATGAAGATACTTCGTAAAACTGGAAAGCACTACCCATATTATTATTATTACTGTTATTTTAAGGATTATAGTTTACAGACATCCATCTCTTTGTGTTTCTTCTATTCAGAAAGAAGGAGCTTTTATTTCAAGAGAAGTCAATGATTTTCTATATTCCTTGTACCCTAGCCATCCCATTCCCCTCCCCCCCCCCGACCTCTGCACCTACACTTGAGGTCTGAGGTTTCTGTAAGCCTCTCCCTGCTGCTTATGTCACTGTGCCTCCATTGAGAGCACAGAAATACATCGCAGCATCCTCCAGCCGAGAATCTGAGATCCTGAGACTGAAGGATTTTTTTGCTTTCTGGAAGTTCACAGAGAAGCGATCCTTTGTTGCATTCTCTTGCTTATAAGCTTCTTGGCGAATAATGAGAATCATCTCCCCGCTGGGAGGCTGTTTGTACCAGGACAAATAATAATTACTGTCGCTGGTGTCATACGTGCAGTGCAAGGTCACAGTCTCTGTCTCCCGCACAGACATATCTGGTTGAGTCTGAGTGACCGTCTGGGCTGTGCTGGATCCTGTGGGAAAGAGAGGGTATCACACACCAGGCAGATAAGGCAGGCAGACTCACAAGCTGATCCCATCCTCCAACCACCTTTCCTCTTGATCCAAACCCCAGGCAGCACATATCAGCTTTCTGCCTCTCCATAGCTAGGCTCTGAGATGATGCAGTTCCTGCGCTAGGACTCTGTCCTTCCCAGCCCCGTTAGGTAACACTACACAGGAAGACCTACACCTTCCTTACCAAGACAGGTGGACACCACGACTGCCCACAGCAGGCTGACAAGCGGCATGCTGACTGCTCTCCCCTGTGGGGTGAAGAAGAGTCTCGCGCTCTGATCTGGGTTCTCCCCTGTGCCCCGCGGCACTTCTGCTTCAGAGCCGGAAATGATCTGACAGGTGGGTGGCTGATTTTATCTCACTGAAGAAAGTTAGCCTAATACTTTTTTTGGTCTCCCTTTCAGAAAATAGGCCTTTGGTTATATGATTTCAAGTGAAAATGTAAAATGATTCCTGAGTTCTTCTATTTCTGGGATGAAAATAAAGGAGAAGGGAGCCGGCAAATTTATTTCTGATATGCCCCAATCTTGGAGAGGAGAGTGGGACCTGGGGTGGCGGGCAAAAGTGGCAGGGTTTCCTTGGCAACAATGGCAAACTCTGTAATTTTTCTTTCTTTTCTTCAAAAACAAAAATGACAGAATAAGTATGATAAATATGAACAATTAGATATGAGTGATATGAATACCCCTGTTATATGAATGTATTCAATTTTTTATATTTCTACAGTTTATTCACAGAAAGAATGAGAAAAAGATTGATTTCTGCAACTGAAAAGATCACTGACTAGATTCAGAAGCAGAACATGTCATGTCTGAGTGTGCTCCTATTTTCCATGTATTTTTAAAGAATAAGTCCCTGTTTGTGACGCACCAGGAAACTCCACAACAATGATTGTAGGAGTTCTCACAGTACTGAGTCAGTCACCTCACACAACTCGCATAAAGACTTGTCCTCCTCGCTCTAATTTCATCTTGAGGAAATGTTGTGAACAAAGAACATTTAAAAGGCTAAACTATGATCCCTTTTTCAAAGGGAGTGACAGAGATACTCATGTAATTCCAGACCTGGAGTCCCCAAGCCGGAGTATAAATGGGGTCCTGTCACAGAGGAGGCAGTATCTGAGGAGCATGGGTTCTCTGTGACACAGAGGTAGGTGGCTGAGTCTCTTCACTCAGAGAAATGTGCAGGGAGTCGTGACAGTTGGGACCAGCCCTGAATGAGGTTGTGAAAATCTCTTGTGTCCCCAAACCCAATTTGATAGCAATGGAAGTATTTCTTCTAGGTCATCTCCATCCCTGTCCCCTAATTTGAATTTTTGTATTTTGGTTTTGGATCCCTGAAAGTCAGCTCCAATTCAAGGATTTGTGTATAAGCAATTTATTTGCAGGTCATTCCAGGAAACGTTGGTAGGAAGTGAATCAGGGAAGGGAAGGAAGCCAATACAGGATGTTGTCAACAAGCCAAATATTACTATTGTCAGTTGGAACTTAATCTAGCTAGTAACTCTGGAAGACAGCATAGCACACCCTTTGGAGTTATTCCAAGTGAGGCATGAAGGACCTGGAGAATTCATCCGTAGACTCATTGTCCATCACTGAGTGAGGGCTGCTGTGGGGACATTAACTCTCCAGCACATCTGGCTAGCCCTGCACACTGGCCACATGTGTTCCCATGGCCAGAAAATAGTACTCAGAGTTGCTGGGTTTTTCAGTGTGTAGAGGTGACTGTCAAGGGGATGTGAGTAGAACACCAACAGCATCTGTACAGCAACAGTTGCTGTACAACTGTTGAGATCCACGTATACTCTATGTCAAATCCACTTGGATCACTGGTTCTTTAAAAAAAAGATTAACAGAAGGATCAATGAGACAAATTGTAATTGCAATAGTTGATTTCGTGGCTGTAATTCGTATTTATTATCTCTCTCAATCTACCTTCTATAACACTCATTCTTAATCCTTCCAAATTTGGCTAATACATCTATGGTCTAATTCCTATCTCAATGAGATAACCAAGATCTTTATCCCTGAAGGGTCTAAGCCCCTCATTATTCTTCCCTTCTCAGGTCATAGTTGCTACAATTGTTTATTTATAGTAATCACTGTCATGAAAGCACTATAAGTCATCCCAGTGAATCCCCTGAGATTTAGCCATATTTTTCCCAGCTCCCATTGGGTAGCAACCACCCTATATCCTCATGATAATCAAAATTGATTGCCCTTGCCAGTGTAGTAATTCCTTTCTTGGCCTTCTGGTCTTCTGGCATGAGGACCTCCAAATGACCAAGTGGTATATGTAATTTTAGGTGAGGTGAAAACTTCTCTGTGTTTCCCTGGTAGCAGTATTCCCCCTTTCCTTTCCCTTCAAAGGGAAACAGGTCCTCTAGTCCAGAACAGTGTGAGAACAGGAAGTGTCAACATCCAAGCGAGTCATTGAAAGTAAGAGTTGGTGGGGAGATAGTCCTACTTCTACCCCTTGGCTCCCAGACCCATGCATTTTATCTAATAGGAACATAGCATCATAAGGAATAGCTCTGCAAGATCTCAGAGCACTGTCCTTAACTGGGGCTTTACCTCACCTTTAAGTGATCATTCCAGTGTGGTTTGTTGATAATACTGTAGGAATGTCAGTATCCCCAACGGTCACATGTCCATTGTCACACCTCCTTGCTATTAAGTGAATTTGTTGATGCAAAGGGATGTGAAATCCTATAATCATCATGATAATCAACCAGCCACTCTGAGCCCTCAGTCCATGCTGCTATGTGTGGCAGGGTGGAGGGAAGGTAGATCATGCCCAGAGTATGTATTAACTCTGATAAGAAAAGATTTCTGCTACCTCCAGAGTGGAAGTGGTCCAGTGTAATCAATTTGACAACCAGTGGCTGGTGGGTCTCCTTGAGAGGTGATTGCATATTGAAAGCTCAGTGTTGTGTCTGCTGTTGACAGGTTGGATATTTGGCAGCAAAGGAGCTAAATCCAATGTAGTGAGAGAAAACCCATGCTTCTGGGCTCATTGAGAACTTCTGTCACCTCAGTTAATCTGTTCACAATCTTACTTAAGCATTGAAATAGACTAGAGACAGGCTGGTGACGTCCTCTGGAGGGATCATCTTGTCTGCATGGTTGTTGGGCACTTCCTTGTAGTGGATGCTCTGTGGTGGGTACTGATGTGAGACACAATGATCCAAACGCTGTGTTTACACTCACTGCTCGTCGGTTCATGGTCACCCCAAGTGTGACTTGCCCTCCGCCCATTCACCTGCTCAGGGTTCTGACCCTAGAGAAGAGATGATGTGGGGCACTTTTCAAAGACAACTGGCTTATAACTTCTGGCTATACCTCCTTTGACTCTTCCCTAGCCAGTCAGTTGGAATTGTATCCTCTTTTCGGGAGGAACCAGATTTTCAACCATACTGTGCCATCTTTACACTCTGCCCTTTATAAACTTTAAACCATTTTCCCTCAGCTTTTGGTACTTGATCTTCTAAGCCCGTCTTTTCAGAATGTCAAAATCTATTTTCTTTCACTACTGAATTTGACGGTCATGGCTTTTAAGATTTTGTATTTTCAGTATATTTGTAAAAATCTACAAAGGAGCTCAAGGGCAAAATTTTATTCTGTTCTCTCTTTGTTCTTTGGTTCTTTCTCCTTTCTCATATTGAGCCTCAGGATTTTGGACTAGTTTTAACAGAGTAAAGACTTCACACTGAGAAACAAAATACATTAGATGGTATTTGAAAACATCATCCCTCTGCCCATGATCTTCAAATGAAATATTTGACATCAGCTTATAAAAAGCCCCTCGTGTTTCCCTTTCCTCAGAGTTAAAGTCAGTGCCCTGGAGCCCTTGTAGAAGAGGGCGCAGTGCTGAGTAGAGCTTGGGCGCAGGGTACAGGTGCCTGAGTAGCACAGTGTTACTCGCTGCGCACAGAGACGTGGTTGAGTCATGGAGGTGAGAATCGTTCACGTGCAGGCAAAAGCACTGATCCTCTCTGTTAAGACTGGCTGTGAATCTTCCACTGACCTTCTCCTTCTCGTTTGATTGCACTTCTATCAGAATGTGGAGGCTTTCCCCAGGATCCTGCCTCAACCACAGGAAGAAACCCAAAGTATTTTCTCCGTAACTGCAGTTCACTGTGAAGCTCTTTCTTTCCTGAACTTTCAGGTCAGGAGGGCTCTGTTCCATTGGTGGCTGTCCATTTGACCCTGTTCAGGAGGAGTGAGAAGATTTTCATACATGAGAAACGTTTTTTTGTTTTTTTTTTGGTTTTGTTTTTTGTTTTTTAAAGAATTCTCCTTATTTATTTTACATTCCTTAGAATAAACCCCGGAAGGACCCGTGGGGTCCCTGTAGATTTCATTTCCAGAGCTGCATCATATCCCTCCCCTAGCCCTTCCCCTCCCCCTCACTCACAGTTTAGCTGGACACACAGGAGCATAAGTGAAGTTCTCAGGGGAATCTCTATTCTTACTTCTTCCTGGAGTCTCTGAGGATTCAGTTTGGAGGCCTGGAACCGACGATGTTCAGTGGGAGTGGTTCACTGCTCTAGATTTTTCTGCCCCTTTTGGTTTGGAAGCTTGGGTGGTCTTCATTCTGTTTTCACAACCAATCAAAATCTGACCTGTCACATCAAACTCGTCATTGAATATCCTCTTTCCTGCTTCTCCCATCACACAGTTCTAGTTCCCAGCCAGTCACTTCTGCCCATGGAAGCATTGCCCCCATGTGGTCTCAAATTTTTAATTCAAATTTTATTTTCATGTTTTCCTTAATACAATGTAACTCGTTCTGGTAGATCAAAGGAACATAGACCATACAGAGAGGGAAAAGCAAAGAAAAAGAAAGAAAACAAAACATAGTGTTAAAATGTTCTCCAGTGATGACCTTCTGAATATTCTTCATGCCTGGAACTCTCTTCCTCCCACTCCTCACCTTTAATGGAAATCTATGAAGTTATTTGCCTGTGTGACTTCTGACTACATTCTCTGAGGGGTATAAATCAAAGGTTGAGAAAAGATCTGATCCTTTCCCTCAGTTGGTTAGAGTCTGCCATGGCTTTGTTATATCTTTCAATCTGGACAGGTTTAAATTAGTTGAAAAAGTTAGACCTTCTCTAAATTCCCTCTGAAAATATAAAGGAGGGAATTCTCAGATGTGAGAAAGCAGCCTGGTATCTGGCTCATATTGAAAATGCTCTTGTGTGTCCAGCTCACATGTGAGTGAGGGAGAGGGGAAGGGCCAAGAGAGGGATATGATGTAGCCCTGGAAATGAAATCTACAGGGACCCCAGGGGTCCCTCTGGGGTTTATTCCAAGGAATGTAAAATAAATAAGGAAAATTCTTTTCGTTTTTAAAGATTTTATTCATTCATTTGAGAAAGAGAAGGCATGAGCAGGGTGAGAGGAGGAGGTAGAGGGAGAAGCAGACTCCCTGCTGAGCAGGGAGGCTGACTTGGGGCTTGGTCCCAGGACCCTGAGATCATGACCTGAGCCAAAGGCAGGCACTTAACTGACTGAGCCACCCAGGTGCTCAATAAGGAAAATTCTTTTAAAAATGTGGTTTTGCAAAAATCTGAGTGTTTCTTATATTTCAGTCTGGGCACCTGTGCAAATCCCAGTAATTTCTCATATTAGCTTTTACATATTAGTTATCTGAAACCCTGTTTTCTGGTTTCCTATATTTACAGAAAGGATTAGGGACTGGTAGAAGAGAGATTAAGGAAGAAGTTCTCTTCCGTTCTTTGCCTCCAGTCCTCACTCTGATGATTCTAAGTACCTACCAATTAAACACATTTCCTCAGCTATATTCCTTGGACAAAGTGCCGGTCCTGGCACACCTAACCCCATCCTTCCCTCCTTCACTTCTTACTGTGGGTCTGAGGTAAGTGGCCGAGAGTTGGTGATGAGTAAAGAGCTGTGATCGTCTCTGATGTTAATTATGGGTATTAGTTCCATTCTTCATGTATGAAATTATGTACAATAGGGATACTGCTTCTTCCAGCATTTTTTTTTGAAGCGCAGTGTAATTGTAACTCAGATTGGAGTTAGCTCCCTCTCAGAGATGCAAAGTCAGAGGTGAACTGTGCTCTGCCCTCCCCTGTCCTCTGATTTCTGCTAGTGAAGAAACCAACAGAAATGTGGGGTGGTCGCTGGAGGATCTGGTTATTTGTAAGTTGTTACACTTTCTTGAGAACATGATTTCTAATCAGAGCACTGTCAAATCTCATCAAATCTGTAACCACAGAAATGCTAGCAAAACTTCTAGGTATCTTTCTTAAGATTTTCTCTCTACTGATAAGGATACTTACCAGGAATGCTCTCAAAGGTGGGGATTTAGTCTGGGAAGAATAGAAGGAATTGTTTTAGTTTTTTGGAAGAAGTAACACTTATATGAGAGTTTCCCTTGGAATTTTTTTTTCTTTCCTGTCTCAGGTATGATGATTTCAAAATTCCAGGTAGGTACCAACAGGAATGTGTCTAGTTAAAGGAGATTGACAATTTTCCGAGCAGTGATAGACAGGGGTTGTAGTAGGTCAACTGTTGAGTGCCTGCTACCAGAAGTTCATGCAACTTAAGGGTGTAGGGATGTTTAATAACATGTTACAAAATAGAATATTCCAATTATACAGTTGGGAAGACTGGACATATATAAAGTAAATGAACTCTAGGGGGCAATGTGTGATAGGCATCAGCACTTCCAACAATATAAGCAAAGTACAGGAGCCAAGTATTTGCAGTTATGAATGAGTAGCTTCATAACTTGCATAAGAGCTAGGAAGAAAAATCATATGAACATCTCCAATGATGCAGAAAAGGCACTGACAAAATACAACACGCATTCATGTTAAAAACACTAAAAAAAAAAAAGGAATTACTAATGAATTCCTTAGCAACAACAACAAAAAAATGCATATGTCCAAACCAGCACCTTCTTATGGGGAAATATTAGAAACTTCCCTATGAAGGTTAAAAGGAAGACAAAGTCTGCTATCTTTACCACTATTTAACATTGTGTTGGAGTTACTTGCTAATGTGGTCAGCTCAGAGAAAAAGAATTAGAAGCATAAGAATTGTAAAGAAAGTAGTAAAATATTGCCTGCATGTTTGCAGATGAAATGATTATATGCCAGAATACCTAAAAGAGAAGAAAAAAACCACTACCAAAAGACAGGTTATAATATAAACTACAACTTAAATACAGCATTTATACACAAAACCAAAAAGAGTTAAAAGAACATGTGGAAGAAAAGAGCACATCTTCTATTGCATAAAAGTAAAAAGAAAGAGAAAAGAAGGAAAACTCTTAAGTGCAAACTAAGAGGAGAAGACGGGTAATTAAATGGAATGGCAGGTCAATAAAGAGGCCCAACTGTATGTGGATATTTACTATATGATGGACAGTATCTCAAATCAGTGTGTGGGTGTGTGGTGGGGAAAATAACTCTTCCGTATGTTGTAATAATTTGTACCTCTTCTAGATACTTCTGCTAGACTGTAATAGTGTCCCATTTTAGACCAGTAGTCTTCAAACTGGGGTTCATGTACTCTCAGAGTTGTATGAAGACTTCCCATGGGTTATGTAGGCATAGATAATTCTAGAGGAATCCAACTGTGTATATGATTTTCTTAAAACTCGTGTCTGCTCTAGAACATGCTTGAGATCCCGATGTCATGCTGCTATGCTTTCCCATTTCCCTTTCCATTCTACCCTTCCCTTTAAAAAAAAAGTATGTGTTTCAACCATTCTGAATCTTATTACTATGGTGTATTACTCCAGAGTGCCAAAATCTCCAAAGTACCACACAAGGAGATAATTTATTGGTTTCTTCAGAGGGAGAGTTCTTAATAGCTAAGCAAGAACTGTAACAAGACAGGGATATATTTTAGTTAGGCAGCAACCTCAAGACAAGATTCCTTGCATCTATCTATCTATCTATCTATCTATCTATCTATCTATCTATCATCTATCATCTATCTATCTATCTCTCTATCTCTCTATCTGTCTGTCTGTCTCTCTGTCTATCTATCTATCATCTATCTATATCTATCTATCTATCATCTATCATCTTAGAATTAGCATTTAGAAATGAATTGGTTGTTGCAGGGAAAAGAGAAACTTTCCCTCTCTTTCCTTCTAGGTTTTTTGGCTGGTCTAATAATGACATTGACATAAGACAGATTAACAGAAGAAAAATATTTATTTGTACACAGAGGTGCTCAAAGATATATGAGTCTCAAAGAAGTGAACAAAGCAGGTGGCTTTTCTATCTTTTATCCAAAGAAACAATACAGTTGTCAAGAATTGACAAGACAAAGGGGTTTGGGCTTGAAGTAGTAAATTAGTAATGAAGTAGCAAGTTTTGTTTAAGCAACCTCCCAGGCCTTACCTTTCCTATCTCCAGCAATAGGGATAGCTTTTACCTCCAGGTGCAGGAAGGGTACCCCTTCACATGGGGAACTTAGTTCCAGCTTTCAGGGGGACAGAGGAGGGTCAGAGTGTGCCTCTTGCACCAGCTGTTTCCTAAGTGACTTTAATTCAAAGTAATCAATATGCCATAGTGGCATAATTTGGGGTGGCCTGTCCCTGAACACCATTATTGTCACTGAAATCCAGCATGTAACATTACTTGAATTGAAAAATGAAATCAGACTTTTTCTGATAGGCAGTAAGTCTTGTGTGGACGGTTTGTTTGACAGTGTGGGGTATGAAGGAAGAGAGGAATTAAAGAAGACTCTAAGGTGTTTGGCTCTAGTCACTAGATACATTATACTGCCTTTTTTTTTTTCCTTGAGATGGAGAAGAGCAAGGGAAGGGCCTCTGGGAGGGAATCAGGCATTATGTTTTGGATATGTTGAATATTAGATAGATGCCAATTAGACATCCAGCATAGATGTTATAAAGGTTACAGTATGTATGAGCCTGGCTTTCAACAGAGAGGGCTGGGTTGGAGATGTAAATTTGTGAATCATCCACCAGTGGATAAGTCAGTGGTAATTAAAGCCATATTTCTAGATGAGATCGTAGGGGAGGTAGAGCCTTACCTTCTCCCTTTTAGGGTCTCCAGCTGGGCATAAAAATTAAGTTGAAATAAGCAGATTAACAGGGGGAAAGCATGTGGATTTTATTTAATAATTTGTACATGTACAGGGAAACCTTCGTGGAAAAATGGGGACCCCCAAGAAGTAGCCAGAGCTAAGTGCTTATATGCTGAGTTGAACCAAGAGTGGCAACTGCGGACAAGGAACTAGAACACATGGGTAGCTGTAAGGGGAAGAAAAGAGTGATTTTAACAAGGTCAGTTTGCACAACTCCCAGCTCTGGTGTTAGGAATGCTTCTTTTCTGGGATATCGAGGGCGTCTTTCATACAGGAGTCTCACCTCTTGCTATCAGGAAGAAAAAGAGTTGTGTGTGTGTGGGGGGGGTTGTCAGAGATCCCTTCTTGCTCCTTCTGTTTTCTAAGTGCCTTCAGCTCAAAATACCAATATGTCAAAGTGGCATATTTTTGGGTGGTATGTCTTGAACCCCTTCAAGATTATTTAAAAAGAGGATGAATGTTGGGGCACTTGGGTGACTCAGTCGGTTAAGCATCTGCCTTTGGCTCTGGTCATGATCTCAGGCTCCTGGGATGGAACCGCACATGGGGCTCCCTGCTCAGTGGGGAGTCTGCTTCTCCTCTTCCTCTATCCCTCCCCTTATTCATGCTCTCTCTGGCTCACTGTCTCTCAAATAAATAAATAAAATCTTTGAAAAAAACGATAAATGTAAGTAGATAATATGTTTTAGAATTGAACCCTGAGACAATGCAATGTGTAGAGTGCCAGCAAGAAGGGGGGAAGTCTAGAGAAGAAGACTGGGCCAGAGTGGTTTGTGAGGTGGAAGGCGAACCAGGAGAACACAGAGTCCCAGAATTTAGGCAAAGATGGGGTTCAGGGAGAGTGTAGCCACAATGTCACATTTTTCTGAGATTCGGTAAGATAAAGAATTGTAATGGATCATCGGATTTGTTGATTGGAAACTCATTTGGGACCTTAGCAAGAGTAATTTCAGTGAAATGGTAGGAATGAAATCTGACTGGAGTGGGTTCAAGTATACAGGGGAGATGGTGTAGAGATCATAAATTTAGAAAACTTTTTAAAAGAGTTTTGTTATTAAGAAAGACGAGGAACAAAAAGGGTGTTAACTGTTTTTACCCGTTGAACCACTAAGTCCAGTTCTAGGATGCTGTCCTAATGAAATGATGAAAATTTTAAGTTAAAATTTAGATTTAAGGGGCACCTAGCTGTGGTGACTCTTGATCTCGGGGTTGTGAGTTTGATCCCCATGTTGGGTGTAGAGATTGCTTAATAAATGAGTGAATGAATGAATGAATGAATGAATAAAATTTAGATTTAAGATGGTTACCATAATGCTATTTTAAAGGATTTAAAATTGGAAATAAAGAACCAAAATATCGCCAAACAGGAAAATTATAAAGTTAAGTGTGGCATGCCTATGGTGTAGAGTAGTAGATCATCATCAACTTAAACTATGAATGCCAGGTTTTAAATGACAAAAATGAGACTGTTAATAAAAGAACATAAAATTGTTCCTACCATATGATGTAATAATGTGCAAAAAAGTGAAAGAGAAACAAGTAAAAATGAGTGTTTACCTGTGTGGCAGAGTTGTGAATGTTTTCAGTATTTTTCCAAATTTTTCCAATCAGTATGTAAACATACTTTGGATTAACATGACTCATATTCACTATAATGAAGGTAAGCCGATGATTACCTGCCTTTATATAATTCTAATTATTTTGACTAGAAAATGCTTCCATGCACCATAAATTCAGCTTATAAAATAGTGCAAAAGTTTCTCCCCTCCCTTTGGCTGTATTAATTATGGATCTTTTGTTTGTAAATGACAGAGTCTTGACTCATGCCAGCTTGTTCTCCAAAGAGAGTATTTGGCAGAGCTGGATCTACACTCAGATGCTGCTCTCAGAAATCTGTCTTTCTTCATATCTCAACGCTGTCTTTCTCTGTCTCTTAGATTAAGATATGAATGATGCTCCCACACATACAGTGAATAACTTGCACAACTCACAAAAATATGGAGTCTCTACCGGGCAGAAAATCATGAAAGGCACAGATGTCCACTTAAAGAAATCTGTCTTCAAAGCAGTTATACTAATTTATTTCTTGCATCTTTGTGTGTACCCTCTTTTCCACACTGGTTTCTAGTTTTGAGATGCTGGAAGCCTATTCTAATAACAAATCTTGAGTGTGCCTTTTTGGACCAATCTTCTCCGTCCATGGCCCATGCCTGTTTCTTCTCTCTTTCCTCCAAATTGTCCTTGTTCTTTTCCACCATTCAAGATCCAAAACGAGTCTGTTGTAGCATCGCCCAACATTCTGCACCAAGAAAATCTTCCCTTGACAGGAACAGAGGTCCCTGAGTGAGTGGCATTATTCTGACTCTGTTGATTGCTTTTCTAGGATGGACTGTAGATATTGATGAAAATAAATGGTGCAAACTTTGACTTTCATCCATCCAAACTTCCTTCATCCATCACTGAATAATATTATAGAAAGCCTTCTATTTGATAACATAGATTTCTCTTTCTCACTGTTGTCAGTTTCTAGTTTTAAAGAATGCCTTTCTCTTCTGAATGATGTGGAAATAAGAGAATCACCAAAAGGCAGAACAACCGTATCAGTTTTAGTATAGTGTTAATGTCTATTGAGTGTTTACTTGATTCTCAAAATCTGCACCAATTAGTAGAAAAACAGAGCTACAAGATCCCTAAAAACTTAGCACATTGCTGCCTGAAGAACCATTCTGTTTTATGTACACCAAACCATATTTTTCTAAGAGTAAACCAAATTAGGCACCAAACATGATAAAAGAAAGACACAGGGGGGTAAATTAGAATTTAGCCCTAAAATCTAAGGACTTTCTGCCTGGTTTATCCTTGGTGGCAATTTAATCCCCTGAACAGCAAGAAAGTAGACGGGAACATAGCTGAACCACGCTGGTACAGGTTCAAAGGAGGGTAAAATCGCACGTGAATTCAGGAGTTATTTTCAATGAAAATCATGCAAGGGTTATTGCAGCCAGACCAGGAAGAGAACAAAGTATAAAGTGAAGCAGAATGTAGCTGTGTTTTATGTGTTTGGTCTGTATTATTTGATTTAAAATTTGTTCTTTATGAGGTTAATGAATGGGGAGAAGTGGTTAATCTCTCCCTTACCACAAATGAAACTCAGGCTGGAAAGTGATCATAAAATTGAAACACATTTGGGAAAGTGTTTATATTTTTCCTTTTCTCCAATATGGGCTATTAGTTGCTGGTTGAATTGCTCAGGGAAAAAGAAATTTATCTGTTCCTCGAATGGATTTTTATGGAAATCCAGTATTTCCATACATTTAGAAATGTGCTTATAAAAGTAAATCTTTGATGTTATTTAACAGTTTAAATGTAAATGAACAGCTCATTCTGAAAAACAATTTTAAATTATTCCTTAATTTTGATTATGGTAAAGATGGATAATCTCATGACTTCTCTGTCTGAAAGGAAACCCCGTTCTGTGTGGTCTCTTGGACTAACAGTTGCCTCAAGCTAACATTTTATATTATCTCACAGTGCTACCCAATAAAAATTGTCCTTTTTAGTAATATTAAAAACTTTTAATTTCCTAAGCTTTTCTTGCTTATTATTTCTTGAACTTTGCCCTTAATAATTTACCCTGCCTAGAATGCCCCTCATTTAAATTACTACACATGCTTCAAGTACAAACTCTAATTCCAGTTTCCATGAATCTGGAAGTGATTTTTTTTATCAGTGGTGAATTTTACAAGCATTTTAGTTGTTTGATTCTTTTATGGCATTTTTTCCCCATTCAAAACTTAAAATTCTTGATTTTGCACAAAATCATATCAGATTGTAATTCTATAACATCACTGGAAAGAGAACATTCCACTTTTCTTTGAATATTTTTGGTAATGAGGCACTTTTTACACTTCAAAGTTTTCTATTTTGTTTTGAAAAAACTCTAGCTGAAATTTGTCTCCATATAAATTCTAACCATTGGGTATAAATATGCCTTGTATTACACATGGGTCATTTGTTCATTCAACTCTCATTAGGTGAATGCTTATTGGTAAGAAAAAAATTGATGTCTTACAAAGCTTACATCGAGTGAGATATTCTCATGTCTATTAGATAGTAAGCTCTCTGTGTATAGGCCTTATGCCTAAGATATTTTACATTGCCTAATAAAGTATGTAGAGAGAAGGAAACAGAAAAGCCTCGGATATGAACATGAAAAACATTATTTTGTGCTAATTAGTAGCGGAAGTCAGTGGCCTACTTGTGGGGTCATGTACAGACTGAAGGTGCCGGGGTCCTCATGATCATAGGGCAGAACTTGGTACCTGCTCTCTGTGTCCTGCAGAGTGCCATGTTCTTCTTACTGGTTGGGGCTCTTACTCTTGTTTTCTGCTTGAGCTCTGGAATAAGGAAAGCTCTAAGGACAAGGTCTTTCCCAGCATTGTGTCTGGAACATAAAAACCAACAGTCTTCTGTCACAGCCATTAAAAATAGGATCCTCTCCCTCCTAGGTACTTGTGGGCTGGGGATGCTGCTCCACTTTCCGTTGGCCATCTACTCTGCTCAGAGAGAGAAACAAACACAGAAGATGAGACATTCGCTCTCCACTTATTCAGGGATTCATTTCATTTTCCGAACTTTTCTGGAAACAAACGAGCAAAACTTACTTTTAAAGGGCTAAAATAAGATCTAAATAAATGAACTGGCAGATAACATTTCTGTATAGGAAAACATAATGTCCTAAAATGTCAAACTTTCCCATGTGATTCCAATCAGAATCCCACTGTTTGAACAAGGCAAAATGAATAAGATAGAACAAATATCCTGGAATTGTGAACTACATTTTGAAAAAGAATATTAAAATTGGATTTTCTTATTTATTACAAAAAAAAGCTTACTCTAAACAAAACAATATGATCTAGGCACGGGATTAAGCCAGTAAGCAGAACATGGTAAAGTCCAGAAGAGATCCAAATATTACTGGTTTGATGAGAGTATTTCAAGTCATAGGATAAAAACAGGAATCGGCTTTAATTTCTCTTGATATTTGCTAATAGTTTGCTTTATCAACCTTCTCTTTTCCACTAGGAAACTGGTTACCCTTCCTTTTTCTCTCACTTATTACACCAGCTTTGCTCCAACTATTCATGTATTCATCTTAAACCTTGATTACCATGTAGACTCAAAGCTGTGCCCTCCTCCTCCAGTGGAAGGCTCCAGTAGCTCCAATGACAGGTGGACTGTGCTGTCCTTCCAGACTTCATCCCTTGTCACCCCTCAGAGGCTGGACAGAGAATAAGGAACTCTCATTCTCTCCTGGGCTGAGCAGCCTTATTTCCCTGGTGGTTAGACTACTCTTCCTCTATGTGAACAGCCCCAGATTGGGAAGGAGAGGTTCCTGCCTCTTCTTGTTGGTTATCTCTGCCTGGCTAGAGATTACATCTCAGCAGCAGATATTCAAATGCTTGCTTTCTCATGATGGTGTGTTGGTGGTTTCTTCAGGGGCTGCAGAACCTTCCACCTACAGTTTCCTGGAAGACTTGGGTGCAGTGTCTTCCTCCTCACCGAGCCCACACTTGGACCACTCCACAGCCTCTTGCTGCTAGGAACCCCTCCTAGGTAGCAGCTCTTTGGAGGCAGGTGTAGGTTCAGACAAGTTGGTTCAGAATCTAGACAAACTCATTACACTCACAGGAAATTCATGGAAAATGGTGTCAATAAACAGTGGGATATAGGCTACTGCACCTTCTTTTAGCTCTGGCTATCTTTCTCTTGTATTTTCTCTTGTGCCACAAGAACCTGACATGTTCAGCCAGTTAAGAAGCTCATTACTATCTAGACACATGACTGTAGGCAGACCTAAACTTAGGGAGGAGTCAGGTGGGACAAGTTAAACATCTTCCTCCTTTCTGCACAAGACGAGGATTTTCCAGAGGGGTCACCTCTTGATGTTCCCAGTCTCCCCTCTAATGTCTCTTTCGCTAACATCAAACGGGTTTTGCCTCTCACCCCAGTCGAATGGCCAAGAATTTCTTCTTTCGTGTTGTTGCTGTGGAATTTAGCGATTATCCTCAATAGCACCCAATTCTGCTGTGATTCTTACACTCTTCGGTAATGTTTGGAAGCAAGCAAATGTCTTAATGAGGACATATACTGTTTGATTACGCATACATATATATAAGAAAGTAAAATATGACAAGGACATTGCAGTGGTGGAAAATAGACTGTATAAATAAAGATAATTTCCAGATGGCCAAAAGACTTTATGGTAAAAATCAAAATAAGACTACTGGCTAAATATCTAAGAGTATTTGTATATATATGGATTATGGGAGATATTCGAAGTCAGGTGATGTTGGTTTGAAATCTCGGAAGTTTCCTAAGTGAAATCTGAAACTGGCCCTGATACACAGGGGTGAGGAAAGACAGAAGGAAGAGGCAGAACACTCCAGATTAGTAGGTGACAGGTTTAATAAGCAAAGAGACTTAGATATGAGGTCTGTCTTGGGTGGCCTCAGGATGAGTAGATCTCTGCCCCTGCCACCCTGAATCTTAAGTTTATATAGAGGCCTTAGCTGAGTTCTGTCATGTATTCAGTCCAGATGGTCTCAACAACACACTGCTCTCTTAAGGCTGCAACCTTGAAGTGGCTGCTAGTGTGGGAATGGTGCATAGGATGTACATTTCAAAGATAAGGAAGGGGGCAAGGACTGTCCAATTGCTGGGGTCCAGCTTGAAGGTCAACCAGTGCTCATATTGCTCGATGACTTCCTCCAACAGGTGGAAATCAGAGGCTACAGAAAAAAACAGACATATATGACTATATGAAATTTGGAGTATATTCAAAGGCAAAACGTACCATGCCATGTACTATAAACAAAGTCAGAAAACAAATAGACTGAGGAAATGACAGAAAATTTTGACATCTTTAGCTATATCTTATTAATGAGAAGTAAATAACCTAAAAGAAGAATGGACAAAGACACAAAAGGCTATTTACAGAAGAGAAAACTCAACTGGCCATAAACTTTTGATCTCACTGGAAATCAGAGAAATGCAAATTAGACCAACAATGAGTTCATTTTTAACCTATCATATTTATAAATTTGAAACACCCCATATTGTCTAAAACTTGCAAGAATAAAGGGAAAATACACACAAATTGCTGGTTAGAGTGTGACATGCTACAACTTTACTTGAAAGTAATCTAAAAAGTCTGTTAAAAACAAACGTAAAGATATCCTTTGATCCAGTAATCAAATTTTTAGAATTCTATTCCAAAGGTATAAACTGCAAATATAGATACAGTTTTTTATCACAGCAATAGTCCTAAACAGACAAAACTGAGTATCTATCAATAAAGAAATGCTTGAGTAGACTATGGTACATTCATGCTATGGACTGTTAGAAATTAGTTAAAATGATGAGCACTGAGTAATGTATGAAATTGTTGAACCATTGTATTGTACACCTGAAACTAATATAGCACTGCACATTAAATGCACTTCAATAAAAAAATAAAAATAAATTTAAAAAAATGAATGAGTTAGAATAATATCTACTGACCTGTAGGGATGCCTATGATTACACTATGTGAAAACGACATACACATACACATCTATCAATAAAAACAAACCAACAAAACAATAAGCATACAAACCAAACAGCCAACCCTATATATATGTTTGTTTATATTTATATGAACAGGGAGAATGGTGGGGAGGACACTCAGCAGGTTGTTAAAATTATTTACCTCTTAGGAATGAGAGAGAATGGGTGAGTGAGGGTTAACTTTTTCTTTATCATATTCGTATTGTTTCGTTTATTACAGTAAGCAGAATTGCTTTTATAATTTGAAATGTATCAAAAGTTTAAAGAAAAAAGAAAATGATTAAAATTAAAAGAAAATATTGCCTGTTTTTTCAGTCAGCTAGGGTTTGAAGATGAGTCCATTTTAGGACTGCAGAATGAAGCCATTGTGGACTGAATGCAGTAACAGGTGGTTTTTCCTGCAACACAGCCACCCATTTCCTTCCCACGCTACAGTTAAGCTGCCCACAGTTTTTGATCTTCTTTTCAGTTTAGGGTCTGTGGGTCTCCGGGTCCTGGCAACAGGTGAGTCTGGGGTATAAGCTCTGAGGTTTTGGCCTTCCAGTTTTTACTGTTCTTCCTGCCATGGGCATCCTAAGTGCACAGAAATACTCCCCGAGTCTCCTGGCCTCACAGCCGAGGTGGTGAGAATGATGGTCTTGGCTGCTTTCTACCAGCTCCCAGAAAACCATCCATTCCTGGAGGAGCCTGAACTTTGAAAAAAATCATTTGAAATATCTCCCCACTGGGGTGGCGCCCAAACCAAGGAAGAACGTAAGTGGGATTACTTGCAAAGTATTTGCAGTTCAGAGCCACAAACTCCCCTTCTTGTGTGAATATCTCAGGTTGAGATTGAATGACTCTCTGGGTGCTACTGCATCCTGCAGAGGAAGTGACAATGACCAAGAACAGGGCCGGTTGGATCTGTGAGCCACAGTGAGATGGTCCTGAACAGACCATTTAGCACACCCTCATCTGAAGAAGATCGCCAGGACGGCAGGAGAGAGCACAGCCTGGCTTCGGTCACTCCTCTCTCTCCCTGGCCCCAAAGCATCTGGTATGTGTTGCCAGGGGACCATCCTCCCACCTCCGGCCCTGAGGGTGGCTCAGTCCCTGCTGAAGAGGGAGGATGGAGCCATTAGTGCCCACGGCAGGCTGGGCAGCACAGGCGGGCAGGTCTGCTCATGGCCGTGAGTTTGGGAATGAATGCCTCAGGCTCCTTTTATCCTCTAATGGTTGCATTTGCTGAACATGCACTGCAATGCCTACCACGGTGACCAGGGATGGGATGGGTCCTGGATGTGTGCTTTAGGGTTATTATTGTTACTAATATTATTTTGCCAGTGTGGTATAATAGAGCTCCTCAGATATTGATAGAAAGGTCTTTGAGGCCAAAGTTAGTTATTGAGAAAGAGCAAAACGGTATCTACCATTTGTTGAGCACCCAAGACATGCCAGGCACTTAACCCATGTGTTGAAGCCATGTCTTTTAAAAGCTTATAAAATAATTATCTCTGATTTCAGGAAACAGAAATTCCAAAGACTTAAGCTCTTTGCCTACAATTAAATAACGATTAGATCATTAGAACAGACCTTTCCGGATCCAGTATATCCTAATTACTACCTTAGAAAAATCATCGGTGTGCCTAGCTGTGACCTGACCTCTCTCCTCCCGTGCACTGGTGTTCTTGTATGTGACGTTCTCCTTGTGCATCTCTCTCAGAGCACAGTGATGCAGGCCAGTGTCTGTAGGTACCAGATTTCTGATGTACAAATGTGTTGCACTTGCTGTATGCTTTGAGTAAAACCTTCCTATGGCAAAACTGGCATCTCCTTTTCCAGAGCATCCCCACCCTCTGTAATGAATATATTCCGGTCCCTGGTTTGGATACTGTCAAAACCAGTAGAGATCAACAAGGTGTGGAGACGAGGTACCATATTTACAAAAGAGGGCCACAGTCTTCCCCTCTGTTCCAGTCACTTCTTACTCTTGAGGTCTGATCCAGCCTGCTGTCCCAGGCCCTGAAACATAAAACACACATCAGCCAAGTGCCGTTCTAGCTGGCTTATCCAGGAGTGCTGCTCAGGGTGCAGGATGGGGCTTAGTTACCTGGGAGGGACCAGTGCTAGCAATGATGTGAAAGTAAACTTGGTATCTATTGATGGCTCGTTAGTGAATGTACATTATCCAGGGAATGTACCCTATCCACTGATAGTGTCTTGTCATCAACTCACTGAGAAGGGATTTCTGGAGGGTTCTTACCAGGACTCACAGGTCAGAAATGGGAGGTTATATTTAACTATATAAAGAGATTGTTTTGAAGAAACAGAAGTACCTTCTTGCAGTGACTTTGAGAAACACCTGTTCTTTGAAATAATGTGAATTCCCCACATCTTTCTAGACATATTTTTTTATATACACGAACACAGGTGAAGTGGAAAGTATAAACGCTAAGCAGTTAACAGTGGTAATTTCTGTAGGTTGAAGTTATAAATGTTCCCTTAATTTGTTGTTTTTCTTTTGCAACAAATACATTTTAGTCTTGAAATTAGAATTAGAGTGTTATTTCGGTGAGAGTTTACTCTTTCAGGAGGTAAATTCTGTTCGGTTCTTGTTAACAGCATGGAACAGGAAAGAGTGAGATAGAAACTCTTCCCCTTCCAGCTGCACTGACCCCCTCCAGAACAGCTAAGTCTCTGGTATCTGACTTGTAAATTCTCCATATCCCTGAGCCAGATTGGACCAACTGTAGGAGGACTAATGGCTTCTTTGTATCTTAGGGGTCTTCTTGTAAAAACAGACAAACAAGCAAGCAAACAAAAAAGTCAACCACCCGTGTTTTCTTTTGAAAGTATAAATAGACCCATCAAAGTGGAAAAAGAAAAAACGAAAGGAGGTCATAGTTTGGAACAGTACAGTAGCTTCCTTGAGTCCGGAAGGGAGAGTCAGACACTTTTGGTCTGACTGGCTTGAAGTGGGAGGATCTGTTGCTCATGGAGACTTGTGTTTTAAGTGACGTCAATGCCTGGAATAGCATTTGTGAAAAGAGCCCATTAGCTAACAATGTAGTTACTGTAATAAGACAAACTGATACTAAGTATACTCAGTGAACACCTACTATGTGCAGGATGGCTGGGAATGGGTGTCCGGAGGCTTTCCTTTCAGTGTCGTCACTTGGGAGTCTTGGCCCAGATCCCCTTCCGGCATCTCTGGAATTGGCTCCTCATCTGCCTGAATTAGGCAGTATTGGGATTTGTAATTGTCCTCCTTGTGCAGCTCTGAACCGGTGCAGGGAAAAGTGCTCACATCCTCCAAAGGAAATTTTGGTCATAAGGGATGCCATTCCATCAAGATGCCAGACACATGCTTTTTTTGTTTTGTTTTGTTTTGTTTTTTTGTTTTTGAGAGAGAGCAAGAGAGTGAGAGAGCATGCACGAGCATGGGAGAAGGGCAGAGAGAGAAGCAGTCTCCCTGCTGAGCAAGGAGCCTGATGTGGGGCTCTATCCCAGGACCCTGGGATCATGACCTGAGCCGAAGGCAGACATCCAACTGACTGAGCCACCCAAGCGCTCCCAGACACTTGGGTTTTGAGATATAAGCTGAAGGCCTTGGAAGCTTATAAAAATATGCACTTTTATTTATTTTTTGAGTATATCTCTTGAGTACTTTCAGGTGACATTGTGAAGAGATATGGGCTCTTCTGCATTCAAGTGTGCCAGGCAAGGACAAAAAGAGGAAGGTAGTGAGGAGAGCCTTAAAAACCCTGTTGAATAAGAAACATAATTATTGAGACAGAAGCTTAAAGAAAACAAAAGGATTTAGTGGGTGCAACAATAAGAATGCTCGAAGAATGGGGTGATGGAATTGTCTGTTTCTTTAACCTAGTATTACCCTATAAACACTTCCTATTTCACTTTATAATCTTTGTATTTTAGAGGTTTTCTTTTCTTAGAACATTAACAAATTGATGGCTCAATCCCTATGGCTGAATATTTACTTTGTTGTAAAACTTGGGAGACAACATCTCAACTTCATGTTTTTTGTTGTTGTGGTGGTTGTTCTCTTAGCAGATTTTCTCCTTAGAAAAAATGGGGTGGGATTCATGGGTCAAAACTCCTGGCCATTTACACAGCCATCGCTAAGGGAGAAAAGGACCCACTTTCATCCTTGTGAGGTGTAGCCAAGAATGATGATGAACTTGGCTCACATCCCAGTGTGTCATGCATTCAGCCATATGTGGGAAGTCTCCTACGACCCCTCCCTACCATGTATGAAATAAACACCTAACATTATGAAATATTTTAAACAGATTGAAAATTGGATAAAATAATTTAATAGACTTCCTTTACATGCTATATGAATCTAATAAATGTTAAAATTTTGTCATAATTTATAACAAGCCTTAAGGGATGCCCTTATATCTGTCTTAAATACACTGGAGACTGAATCTCTAACAGGTACCATGTACGGAAGAGCTTGAGGGCAGGGTAGGATGATTTTTGCTAAGGGTAGGATGATTTTTGCAGTGAATAATTAGGGTTGATATTGTGATTTTTTATTTTTCAATTCTGTCCCCATACAAATCTTGAGGCTGAAGGGGGGCTGATAAGATAATAAATCCAGTTTATACACCACTTTTAAGGAACATACCTAGTATATTAAGGATGGCCATGTATGGAGTGATTAGTTATTTGGTCTTCTAAATCTTTTCTTCCTGGGTCTTCAAATGAAAAAAAAAAAAACAAATACGTTCTTCTTCCTGCTGTTTTCACTTTCCAATATTTGGCTTAGAAATACTGGGGAGACTTACACAGGATTTCCCACTTCTATCTTGTAACCTTACATAAAGAAAAGCTGTATTCTCCCCCCATCTCTACTTCCTGGTTTCTGGCTCTTGGTGTAGACAGAAAAGGAGGGAAGCAAAGAAAACAGGCAGAGGCATGTGCAGGCTGAAAAATTGGCAGGTACATTGCAGGAATTTGTATCCGATTTCTTCCTCTCCTCTTTGAATAATTACCTGCCCTTTCCCTGCATTATCTCCTCATTTCCTGGACAGTGAACTTTAAACTGCACTCAATTGCAAAGCATTTCCTAACAAACTCATGAGCCCCAGCTGCCTTTGCTATCTTCATTTGCCTATGGTGATAGGGCATTAAGCCCTCTACATGTAGGAATAGTTATTAAAATCAATTATCAGGAAAGGTAGGTCTTTTTGTAATTTTTGCACCTTTCCAACTTAAGGGAGCATTAGTCCACAGTGATTTGAAGGGCTAGCAATAAAAAAATCTTGTTTTAATGCTGTGTCATTTGGTCATGTATAATTAATTATTGTAATCCAGTTAATACGAGTGTCAAATAATAACGACAAAATGCAGTTTCACCTTGCTTGGATTTTGGCATTCTAAAATAGAGTGTATTGCTCTGGAAAACAGTATGGAGGTTCCTTACATAGTTAAAAATAGAACTACCCTATGATCCAGCAATTGCACTACTAGGTATTTACCCGACACAAAAACACAGATTTGAAGGGGCATATACACCACAGTGTTTATAACAGCATTATCAACAATAGCCAAACAATGGAAAGAGCCCAAATGTCCATTGACTGAAGAATTGATAAAGAAGATGTGATATATATTTGCAATGGAATATTACTCAGCCATCAAAAAGAATGAGAAAACAAATGAACATGGGGAGGGGATAAAAAAGAGAGAGGGAAACAAACCATAGGAGACTCTTAACAATAGAGAACAAGCTGATGGAGGGAGGTAGGTGGGGATGGGCTAGATGGGTGATGGGTGTTAAGGAAGGCACCTGTTGTGATGAGCACTGGGTGTTGTATGTAAGTGTTGAATCACTAAATTCTGCTCCTGAAACCAAGATTACACTCTATGTTAACTAGTTAGAACTTAAATAAAATTTGAAAAAGAAAAAGAAAAGATTATTCAAGGGCAAAATAAAACAGAAAATTATAAATTAACTTATTTAACAAATACAGTATTGATCCAAAATCTGAAAAACCTACAACAAAAAAAGAAAACCAGTGAACAATCTTACTAAAATAATCAATGCAAAACACCAAGATATTAGCAAAAATAATTATAAGAGAATATTGAGAAATAATATGTTATAATCACTTGAATTTTATTCCAGGAATTCAAGAGAGTTAAATTTTAGAAATCATAATATATTATATAATGGTAATAGAACTAAGAAGATGAATTATATGAAAACGTACATAGATGCAGAAAAGACAGTTAAAAGCTGTTTAGATTTGATATTTTACTTTGCACTTCATATCATTCATTTTTACTTTTATTCATTAATCCAATCCTGCTTAATTTTGACTTGTATTTTTCCTTCACTAGCATTATAGTCATTTGATAATTATACATATGTATTTTTTAAAGATTTTATTTATTTATGCGAGAGCGGGGAGAGAGAAAGAGAGAACTCAAGCTGGAGGAGGAGCAGAGGGAGAGGGACAAGCAGATTCCATGCCAAGCATGGAGCCCAACCAATGTGTGGGGCTTGATCCCAGGACCCTGAGATCATAACCTGAGCAGAAACCAAGACCCGAGGCTTAACCCACTGAGCCACACAGGCATCCTGATAATTATATCGATATAAATGTCTTATGCTACAAGTATTCCTCTGGTACATGATTTTTCTGAATTACTTAGCATGTCCCTTATTATTTTTATGTTAACAGTATATTTAAGAAATTTTAAAATTTTACCTGATTTTGTCTTTGAAGCAAAGTTTGCTTAAAGAACATTTTTACTGTTATCTATTTGTTTTTGAATTTTTTGCATAAAGTGGCTTTTTGGTTAATTCCTCCTACTATTTCCTTTTAATCCCCATTTTTAAAGATTTTTTAAGGTATTATGGACAAATAAAAACTGTATAGGGGCACCTGAGTGGCTCAGTCAGTTAAAGCCTCCTACTCTTGATTTTGGCCCAAGTCATGATCTCGGGCATAAGACTGAGCCCCAAGCTGGGCTCCACGTTGAGCATGGAGCCTGTTTGAGATTCTTTCTCTCCCTCTGTCTTGTGCATGCTCTCTCTAAAAAAACGAAACCAAACCAAATACTGTATATATTTACTGTGCACAAAAAATTAAATAAATGAAATAAAATAAAGCGGATTGTATTTTTTTTCTGTTTGTTAAATAATGCTCAGTATTGAGCTCCTGCTAAGTAGTTTGAAAAATAAAGAATATTATAAAGCAGAAAATAAAAAGTGTTAAGCCCAGTACTCAAAAAGCACTAATACTGTTGCAAACATCTTGGGGTCAATGTGATCATGTTATTTTATTCACACAGCAAACACATCTTATTCCAGTGTTTCATGTACTGTTTTGGTATATAACTGTGGTTGTACTGTGGGTAATTTTTTTTCTCCTGTGATATTTAACATGGGGCATGTAATGGAGAAAGCATAGCCTTTGGAGTCAGATAGACTTAATTTTGAATTCTACCAGTTATTTTTCAGAAGGGAGGAGGCAACTTTGATCTTTTCTGAATTTGCATTTCCTAATCCGTTAACTGAGAATAAGAACAATGATCCATCAGAGTTGTTTTGAAAGTTTAATGAGGTAATATTTGCAAAGTACAGGGCCTATTGTATTTACTCTCAAAAAACAGTAGTTTCCATTGCAAACTCTGTAAATACAGTATATGTGAGTACATAATATTTCACTGAAAAAATATACTATAACAGAAATAAGCTAAGTTTATGTTAGCTTTACATTACTTAGTTTAGCTAGTCCCTTTCGTTTGGGAGACTGCTTCAAGTACCAACTGTTCACATTAATGTGTAACATCTTGAGAAAGCCCGACCACTACTTTCATGAAGCACCTAGCCTAAGCCGCAACCCAAAGATGAAGGGAGTAAATAAGAATCCTGCAAGTGCCAAAGAAAAGCTTTTGTTTGAATCAAATCATGATGCTTTCTGGTTCCCACTCTTTGTTCTTTGCTAATAGGTCCAGCAAGGAAAAAGCTGCAAGCAGAGCTTTACCTATAATTGTGTCTGTTCTAGATGGGAAGATCAGACCAAAAATAAACTGGATTTTCCATCCATGACGCTGTCAGGCAGAGTCCATGATGGGTGGTGCACATACCAGTTGTTGGTGCTTTCTTTCTGAAAAGGTTTTCTTTCTCCCACAGGGCGTAATGGGGTGGTTGTGGAGTTGGTATCATCTGAGTGACCTCTAAAAATATTAACTATGTTGATTCCCATAGAAAAGCACAGAGAAGGTGGTGAATGCAGTGATATGACTCCGTGAACCACACCAGTAATTGTCAACACGGGCACAAGGATCTTGACTAATAGTTGCTTTTCCTTAAAGCTTCTTTTCGAGGTCGTGCCTGACTTAGCAAGTTCCCCACCTAACAGTTGCAGGAGCCTCAGCTGGAGCATTTGGGTACGGGCTGCAGCTGACAAGAAGACACTGTGCCTCTACTGCACACAAGTAGGTAGCTGAGTCTCCGAGCTGGGTGGTTGTGATGTGCAGGGTGCTGAGAAGTTCTTTCTTATCTAATGTGCCTTTTAACCTTCCTGACTTCTCAGTCCCACTTGAAATTAGTCTAAGCAAAAAGGTAGGGGTTTTCTCTTCTTGCTTAAACCAAAAGAGGCTCTGAAAGCTGGTCACTTTGTAGCTGCAGCTGAGAGTTGAGTTGTCTCCCTCATGGGCAACCAGAGATGGGGGGCTCTGGATCACCTTGTCTTCACTGCTCACCCCTGTTCAGAAAAAAGTAACAAATCAGTCAGAGATAGAGTGATGTCAGATCAAGACTTCTCAGAGATCATAATTATTCTCCATTGGAACAATAGATGCTCCCTGATAAATCAGAATGCATTCTACTTCCCCCCACCCTTAGTTTTCTGAGGATCAGTCCTCAGGTTTTCCTGGCTGTCCCCGACCCTTTGTAATAATGCTACTCACAGCTCAGTTGAAGCCAAAAGATGGCTAGTGAAGCTCGTGGCCACTTCTCCATCCTTCAACTCTATCGTTTGTTTTCCCGGGCAAAATGTGATTCAGTGCCCTGAGTGTTTCTTTTTCTATTTTGAACCAACACTCTTTTCCCCCAGGACAGACAGACACACACACGAACACACACAGACACATAGACACCCTGAAAGGGAAATAACAATTTGGCTCATCAGCCAATCAGAAAATAAGTATCATTTGCCCCTAATTCAAATTCAAATCCTTCCCACTCAGTCACTCGGGGAAGTCATTTAGAGCACTGCCATCTTGTGAGCTGGTGCAGAATAGCTGCAAACTTGTATCCACATGTTTTACCAATGATTATAGAGTCTTCCAAAATTGTCTCACGGGGGAAGGACAGGCTATCCAGAGCTACCCACAGCTCAGTGCAGGCCGAGAGGAAGAGTACACTGAGAAGTAGGAAACTGCCGAACTAACATTCAAGTAGGGGCGTACCCTGTGAGGTGAAGGACCGCAGCGCTCTGGGGATTGGAGGAAAAGGTGGGGAAAGAGGCAAAGGTCCTTCCAAAAGCTCTTTGAAGGTTCACTATTGATCTCATTATCCTGGAACACAAATTTAGAAAGCAGTATTTCTGTTAAACAGTGGGGTCTTGGATAATTCACAGGTGTATTTGGGTGATATGCAGATGTCAAAGTGCTCTTTCCGGTTTTATCATGATTTGGTCAAAACAAATATCAAGACATCACCCTGATAACCTCATTTCTAAATCCACTGAGACCCTTCCCTCCTACAAATATTGTTTTCTGCCCAGAAATCCATTGTTTATTCCATTCATCCATTTTATAGACTTCTATTTTCTTTAAATTCCTCCACTAAATACATTTTCTTTCCAGATGGTGACAACGCAACTCTGGGAACACATTTTGTACCATTTTTACTAAGGTGTATCTGTCCATGTATTTTTGGGTAAGTATTCCTACATAAAATTGTGATGTGAGTCTCTCCTCTTTTTTTTTTTTTTTTTTTTGAGAGGGGGAGAGGGGCAGAAGGAGAAAGAGAATCTTAAGCAGGCTCCATGCCCAGAGTGGATTCGATCTCACAACCCTGAGATCATGACCTGAGCCAAAATCAAGAGTCAGACTCTTAACTGAACCCACCCAGGCACAACTATCTCCTCTTTTTAAGCTAAAAAAAAATCAAATTCTACTTATACATTTGCAATTACATTTTTTTGATTATTAAAGAGATATATGGACACTGCAGAACATTTGGAAACTACAGGGAAGCACCAAGAAGAAAATCTAAATCCCCTGCGATTCTAACCTCTACCTTTAACATGTCTCCATCCAGAACTTTTTTCTTTTTTGTTAATAAAATATATCATAGATTTGTTCAAAATAAAGTTACTTTCTTTTCTCATTTTCTAAACTTTTCTAAAACATTGTAGACTTTAAGCTGTGGTGAGGGGGACAGCTAGATAGAACGTTTGCTCAACATTTGGAAATATAGTGGTCCCTCCCCTAACTGTCCCAGCTCATGATAATCTAAGGTATTCAATTCTGGTGTCCACCCTGCCTTTCCACCCAAGTGTATGGTTGCTAGGGAATCTCCTAACCATCCTGCTAAGTGTCCAAGACACTATTTGGCCTTCAGTTGTTTAAAGGCACTGCAAGGTGATATATTCAACCTAGGCTGAGGGCTCAAAAGGGTTCTTGCTGCAGAGAGAGAGAAGCAGTCACTTGCATGAAGTGTGGAAATTTACCTGGAACAGGCTTTATGGGCCACCAACCTTCTGGAGAGTCACCTGGAGATAGGGCTAGTGGGTGGCAAAGGCCAAGAACTAGCATGGCTCTTGGGCACTTCAACTGTGTCCTTAGTAGCTGCTTCTTGCCTATTGCCCATTCTTAATTCCTTTCTTGCATCAAGGGCTTGATATTGTTATGTCCCCTTCCTCCTGACTCTCCAGCCTCTCCTAGCTTCCCTTAAAAATCCCCTTTATCCCTTCACATCAAAAGTCTCATTATCTTCTTTTTTATTCATTTGTTTCTCCTGGAAGAGTCTCTGTGCTTCATTCAAGCAGGACTTTATGCTTTAGGAACAGAAAATATGGAGTCTATTTTCTTTAGTTCTGGGGAAGATAAGATATTTACAATCTCTATCAAGCAAAGTGACTTGTCACGACCCAACCCATAATGGGCTGAATGAGAGCAAAAGAAGATAAAATGGCTAGATTTTCAGATCAAGGGGACATGAATTTTAAAGAAAATAAAATTTTATTTTATATTATTCTGTAGCTGATTTGTTTTTCACTTGAATAGTCTATCTTAAATTTATTTCCACATCATTACATGAAGGTCTACTTCCTTTTTTTTCTTTAATGACTGGATAGTATTCTGTAGTATAGATATATAATTATTTAATCATTTACTGAGTGCTGAATACATAACTCCTAGTTTCTCTGCCATCATATTTATTGTGAATTTTTAGTTGATAATTTTATTAGATTTAGGGCATTTCTAATCTTCTTTTTCTTTTGTAATGAATTATGACTGTGAGGGCAGGATTCTTAGCACGACATTACCATTTAGTTTGGGATTCTTTTAATTCTTACATCTCTTTGGATACTTAGCTAGATGGGCTGTATGACTAATTTCCATTCTTCAGACAGCTGCATCTATAAATTCCTAAATTTCAGGCTTCATTACACTGAAAACCCCAACCAATTCTAACATAACATGGCAGAGTAAGTTCGTAGCAGCCCCTAAAACACTCTCATTTATATTCTAGTAAATTGAATTGGGATGTTTACCAGGAGTATGTTTGCAATCAACACCAGTTTAGATGTCATGAAAAAGAGAGAAGGAATGAACTATCTTCACCTGTTCTTAATCCTTTACTTCTGAACGGATGACTACACACATTATATGTATAAACCACCAAGTTTTAGAAATACTGCCAAGTAAAGATTTTAAAAGCAGTAAGAAAATAAAAGAGGTTATTGACAAAGAAATGGCAATAACATCGAAAGCAGACCTCTCAAAATCAGCAACAGAAGCGTGATACACTGGAAAATACCTTCAAAATGCTGACAGAAGATAGCTACTAAAATAGAAAGAGAATTGTAAGTAAATTATCTTTCAAGGATGAAGTTGAAACTAAGGCTACAGAAGTTTATCCCCAATAGACCTTCAAGTCTGTTTTTTGAGTTTATCTTCGTGTATGGTGTAAGAGCATGGTCCAGTTTCATTCTTCTGCATGTGGCTGCCCAATTTTCCCAGCACCATTTATTGAAGAGACTGTCTTTTTTCCATTGGACATTCTTTCCTAATTTGTCGAAGATTAGTTGCCCGTAGAGTTGAGGGTCCATTTCTGGGCTCTCTATTCTGTTTCATTGATCTATGTGTCTGTTTTTGTGCCAATACCATGCTGTCTTGATAACCACAGTTTTGTAATAGAGCTTGAAGTCAGGCAATATGATGCTCCCAGCTCTGGTTTTCTTTTTCAACAATCCCCTGGCGATTCAGGGTCTTTTCTGGTTCCATATATCAAAATCCTAGAGGAGAACATAGGCAGTAACCTCTTCGACATTGGCCACAGTGACTTCTTTCAAGACATGTCTCTAAAGGCAAGGGAAACAAAAGCAAAAATGAACTTTTAGGACTTCAACAAGATAAAAAGCTTTTGCACAGCAAAGGAAACAGTCAACAAAACTAAGAGGCAACCCACAGAATGGGAGAAGATATTTGCAAATGACATTACAGATAAAGGGCTGGTATCCAAGATCTATAAAGAACTTCCCAAACTCCACACCCAAATAACAAATAATCCAGTCAATAAATGGGCAGAAAACATGAACACTTCTCCAAAGAATACATACAAATGCCTAGCAGACAGGTGAAAAAATGTTCAACGTCACTAGCCATCAGGAAAATCCAAATCAAAACCACAATGAGATATCACCTTACATCAGTTAGAATGGCAAAAATTAGCAAGACAGGAAACAACAAGTGCTGACGGGGATGTGGATAAAGAGAAACCCTCCTACCCTGTTGGTGGGAATACAAGTTGGTAACTGGAAAACAGTCTGGAGGTTCCTCAAGACGTTAAAAATAGAGCTACCCCACAACCCAGGAATTGCACTACTAGGTATTTACCCCAAAGACACAGACGTAGTGAAAAGAAGGGGCACATGCACCCCAATGTTCATAGCAGCAATGTCCACAATAGCCGAATTGTGGAAGGAGCTGAGATGCCTTTCAACAGATGAATGGATAAAGAAGATGTGGTTCATATATAGAATGGAATATTACTCAGCCATCAGAAAGGATGAATACCCACCATTTGCACTGACATGGATGGAACTTGAGGGGATTATGCCAAATGAAATAAGTCAAGCAGAGAAAGACAATTATCATATGGTTTCACTCCTATGTGGAACATAAGGAATAGCCTGGAGGACCACCGGGGAAGGGAGGAAAACTGAATGGGAAGAAATCAGAGAGGGGGACAAACCATGAGAGACTCTGGCCTCCGGGAACCAAACTGAGGGTTACAGAAGGGAGGGGGGTGGGTGGATGGGGTAACTGGGTGATGGGCACGTGTTGTGATGAGCACTGGATGTTATATGCAACCACTGAATCGTTGGACACTACATCAAAAACTAATGATGTACTATATGTTGGCTAATTAAACATATTAAAAAAAAGAACTAAAAAAAAAGAGTCTGTTTTTTGGTTTGTCTCTTGTTTTCTTTTTTGTTTGTTTTGTTTCTTAAATTCCACATATGAGTGAAATGATAGGGTATTTGTCTTTCCCTGACTGACTTATTTCATTTAACATTATACCCTCTAAATCCATCCATGTTGTTGCAAATGACAATATTTCATTCCTTTTTTTATGGCTGAGTAATATTCCATTATGTGCAAATCCCTTGCCCATTTTTAAATTGGTATTTGTCTTTTTATTTTTGAGTTGTAAGCTATTTTTTATACATTCTCAATACTATCTTCTTATCAGATATATGACTTGCAAATACAGTCTTCCATTCTGTGGGTTGCCTTTTCACTTTCATTTGTGGAAAACTCTGTGGTCTTTGAAAAAGTTCTTGGTATCGATAAAGTCCAATTTATTTTTTTTTTTTGGTTGCTGTGCTTTTGGTGTCATATCTAAGAAAT